TGCACAATCAGCTTGTAACACTCCAAAGAGAAAGGAAAACTTGAAATCGCATCATATGACCCCTTTAATAACATAGTCGAGTGTTTGAAATACTTCTTTTTGTGACCAGACGTTTACAGAATGTACAGAATGATAGTATTATAAAGGCCATGTCGATTAACACTGCATTATAAATACTTTCTTTAGCCAAGATACGTGGAATTTGGTTGTTTACAGTTGTTAAAATATGTTATTTATAGCCCTTTTATATCGCTGCACAAATTAGCATTTCAGATGTACACATTCATTATTGTTATGAAAATACCCCAAATCTCAAGAAAATCACATACAAACCATATACTATTGTAATCGTGTGTTTATTATGTGGATATTTCGTGGGTACAGACGTTTCTCTGTGTTTGTTATGGTCAGATATGAACACAGAAGAGCAGGGGAGCTCGTGACAGGATGAGACGGGGCTTGTTATTGGAAGCAATATGATTGACAAGGCGACGGACAAATCAGGGTTTCTGTGAGTCACAGCGTGAGAACAGAAGAGTAAACACACAGAGACAGCCCAGGGAGCTGCTAGTTTTCATTAGATAACGTAAATCAGTGGAAAATGAATAGAAATGATGATTCTGTCTGAAGAAATATGAAGTAAACATGAGTAAATATATCTATATATCTCCATGTATATGCATCTTTGGACTATAAGCCCTTATTGACGCTGTTCAGTGAAGCTATGTAAACACAAATAAACCGCTGCAGACGTGACTGAACATGAATGCGTGGTGAATTTCTATTCCAAATATGACACGTACGGATTTATTATTTTGCACTACTGACCTAAATTACTAAATGACTGTCACTGCAACAATGTTTTATCAAAACAGTGGTCAAATATCGAAGCTAGAGTCTTTAATCTTTCTAATGATGCACAGTTTGTCCAGATCAAGTAAGAGTTTGATGTTTTAACGTGCTGTGAAAGTGAACACAACAAACCGAGGCCGTCGCCGATCTTTGTGATACATTTTTGGTAGAATCCTGTGGTTTTTGCTTACATTTCAACTAAAGTATCATTAATATTAGATTTAATCCACATCAAACACTTCAGCATCTTTAAAAGTTTCTTATTTTAAGTATTGTCTTCAATGTTTTAATCTCATCACACAGGCGATGAAATATTTTGCCAAAGTTTTTCTGTATGTTTTAAAAATAAACTAGAAATATTTTTAAAAGGTTCCATATGTGAAGGCGTCTGTGTGTTTGTCACAGCACTGACGTATCTCTTGCGTCAAATGCGGAGCCGGTAATTCCTTATTTAAGTTGTATCTTTTAGAAAATGTTATATTTATTTTATTTCAAAACATATTCCTGCTTAAAAGGCTAAATAAAAAAAGTGTCCATATCTTAGAGTATTCCTAGGGTGAGCCCTAAGATCTAGTTCTTTACTTATTGTTGTGTGTGTTCATACTTTTCTGAACCGACCTTTATCAGCGTAATAAATACCACGGTGAAACATAGCCTTCGCTGAAAATATATTGTTGTTTATCTACTCGAAAATATATGTAGAAAGTTACCATAAGTTGATGTAACCACCTGTCTGCTGGTCTTTGAGAAGTGAGCGTTTATGACTTTACCAGCTAGCCCTTTGCACCCCCCATAACATTCCGGTTCATTTAAAATGTTTGTTTAAACAACAACTTGTGGGACAGAGCTGGTACAGAGAAAATACATTCTTTGGATACCCACTGACTTTTTGGAGTCGCAAACCGTGCTTGAATGAAACAACACATGTGAGGGACTTCTGGGGTCAATGGGTCTCCTGAGTATATTTAATTGTGCTTAAAAAGCACAGATCAAGCTAAACGAAAAAGCGTACACCACACCAGACTCCTGATGTCCTGCGGTAGAAAATACATACAGTATGTTGTTAAAACCTACTGTATATACAATATGTATTTTAAGGTAGCTCATGTTTCGTGTATATGATTGTGTGCATGTGTATGACTTTACTTTTCTTATTTTTTACAAAGAGTCAATTCAATTCCTAGTAGGGCTGTCAAAATGGCTGAAAAACTACATTCAAATTTAAGCAAAAGGGGCCCCTACCAAGTATTGAGTACATGTACAGTAAATTAACATACTTTCCAGAAGGCCAACAATTGACTAAAAATGTTTTTTTTATTGGTCTTATGAAGTATTCTAATTTGTTGAGATAGTGAATTGGTGGGTTTTTGTTAAATGTGAGCCAAAATCATCACAATTAAAAGAACCAAAGACTTAAACTACTTCAGTCTGTGTGCACTGAATTTACTTAATACACGAGTTTCACAATTTGAGTTGAATTACTGAAATAAATGAACTTTTCCATGACATTCTAATTTATTGAGATGCACCTGTAAATATTATCAAAATTCGAATTATATTCTAATTTCAAATGCATAATTTCAGTTAGGGTGAAGAAAAGCTTTTGGCTTCTCTGCTGAACCATCAACACGAAAAGTAAGTCTTGCTGTTTTACACTTATAACTGAAACATATCTAACCATTGCTCTGAAAGCCACACATTCAGTAAAGTTTGAGGTTGTACACCCTCTTGAAAAGGCTACAGACACAAAATATAAAGGAATTTTTGCGCACACAAAACCCCTATGTAACTCAAGAGACCAAACCACTAAGAAAATTATCATATGAATACAGAAAACTCGTGATCATTTGGGTATATTTTTGTAAATGTTGTTTTAAATTACTTTTTTCTTAGACCACTACATCTAGACCTCTTGTTCAGATAGCTGATGACGATGTTCACATTTTATTTGTCGTACTCGTTTCTTTCAACATTTCTGCTTGACATTAAAGTGTAGGACTGCGTGTACTTCCCATCGGTCATAAGCATAAGCATCTACCATGTGCTAAATTTTTTCTGTTTTGTCCAGAAAAAAATTGTCCAGATTTGCTAGAGGGACTATGGCACACCTTGTTGTAATGTGATCACAATTAAGAACCATAACATTATACTATGTCCCCCTTTGAAAAGGTTATATAGACATAGACTTTTATACAGGAAATATGTTTGCACAACATAAATATGTATCACTATAACCAGAGGCGGACAAAGTACTCAACTCCATTACTTGAGTGACAGTACAGATACTGCTGGTCAAATATTACTCCATTACAAGTAAAAGTTGTAAAGACAGATTTTTACTTAAGTAAACGTACAGAAGTACTTGCTTTTAAAAGTACTTAAGTACCAAAAGTAAATTTCCTTTTTTATGTCAATGCACTGTTTTATTGTTGTACGTAGTACTTGCAATACTTCTGAAGCAACTTAGAATACATTACACCTACTGAATACAGTACAGTGAAATCCTGTAAATACAGAGTGACAAGGAAGATAAAAAAAATCAAACCCAGTTCTTCTGTGGCTTTATAGGTAATATTTTCACGTACACAATTTAGCAAAATCAGACAATATTGTGTGTAATGTATACCACAATATTAACTTCTTATTATTGAATTGTTGCATTTGCTACTGCACTGTAAATTCCAATTAGTAAACCTTACTTAAAAAAAAACATGCAAACCGATTGCCTTGAAAAAACCAAAACAAGTAAAGCACTATTTTCAACAACTAAATGAATAAGTACAATATACTATGTGCGTATTTCAAACAACTCTTTTATTTAAGTTGAGCCAACTCATGTAACATTTCCTGCAACTTGGAATTTCTAAGTTGTATTTACTTAAACAGCAATCTGATTTACTTGCTAAAAGCATGCAAACCGATTGCCTTAAAAAAACCAAGTAAGCGTTACTCCACTAACTTAAGTGCTTCAAACATCCATTACAAATTACTGACAACAATGTTCCATTCATCACACACACATACAATTAGACATAAATTTAAGGTAGTGAAAGTTCAAAGTTAAAGGCAATGTCTTTTTTTTTGTTTTTCAGTGCAGTTTTAACTTGTATTACAAACATTTTGAAACAAAGCAAAAACAATCTGATTTAGGGTATGCTTCTTGTAAACAGTGGAGGTAGCAGTACAATGAGTAAGTGTGGCACTGGGTTGGCCGCACATGTTGCCAATGTTTTGTTTTTTTTTGCATCAACATCAGACACCTGTATAAAACCAAATAAATACAATATTAGTAGGGAAATATGGATGATAAGTTGTCAGTGTTATTTGTCCTGCCTACACTACCATGCCATTGGGTTAGTTCACCCAAACCTGAAATTTATGTGATCATTCACTCAAACATGACTTTTGTTTATTTTTGGAACACAAATAAAGACATTTTCAGTGAAATCCGATAGAAATTTCTGTCTATTTACCCAAAACATTAGACAGTTGATCATATAGCAATCATGTCTCTTCCAAAGATTTGAGCCGCTTTTCTACCATCAGGCCAAACCCTTTTTGTTGCTTAACCATTCCATTTTGTGCTGATCCTGCCCAAGCCGATACAGATATGGTTTAATTTTTCACTGTTGGGCTCTTAACAGAGCTCTTTGGAATGCAACATAAATGTGTCAGTCGTTGCCTTAGTAATGCAAGATTTAAAATACGGTACTAGATGTAAATAGCACACGTTATGAAAGATTAAATAGTTCTTTTAAATTTTACTATTAACTTGTCTACTTCGCTCACATAGCAGGCTTGGCCAGCTACAGAGAAACTATTGGCGAAGCAAAAGACAAATGACAATCCTGAGCAGCCACGTCACTTCAGGCATTCTACAGCACGGTTCAGCGTGTTCGGCTAATAATTCCAGATCAAGAATGGTTTGTGATCAGACTATGCCTAACCAAGTTCAAGTGGAAATATAACTGAAACTGCTCCTTACCATTCATTGAACAGTTTGGCCCAAAAGCAGATTACACGGCTCCATTCATATGGATTTATTTGATGGTTGGGTGTCAGAGTTTTGGGGTTAATATCTTCATTCGTGATCAGACTATGCCTAACCAAGTTCAAGTGGAAATATAACTGAAACTGCTCCTTACCATTCATTGAACAGTTTGGCCCAAAAGTAGATTACACGGCTCCATTCATATGGATTTATTTTATGGTTTCTTGGGTGTCAGTGTTTTGGGGTTAATATCGTCATTCATGTCTTGAAGCAGCACACTTTTTTATGGGATGGAATGACGGGAGGGAGATTAAGTGGCATCATTTTCATTTTTTGTTGAACTAGGTATATAATCAACATTAATCTTTATAAAAGTATCTCAGTAATTTACCAGCAAATACACAAGAAATTTTCCCCAAATTATGTGCTTCTTTAAGGTGTAGCTATGAGAACCTACAAAGCGGGTTAGTTGTAGAAGTATCTGGGGTGATCATGAAGTAAAACAGGTCGGCCTCAGATGGGTGTGCACTGCTGTCAAATCTGGGTTCTAGAAGTATGAAAAGAAAAACAAGTTTAAGACAATCAAAAATGACAGTACAAATATGTCAAAGTGTCAATAAAGAAGTCAATTACATGGTTTATTTTAAATATTATTATTAAATATAATAAAAAATATTGAAAACATTTAAGGTAGCAACATACATTTTTAGGGGTTGTAGGGTGTGAAGTGTCTTCTTAGATCTATGAGACAAAGAGCTCATTCAGTTTAAACCTTAAATGTGTGATCACGTAATGACTATGATTGTGATGTATTCAAAATATTGACAATAAAATTGTAAACTTAAAAATAACTTAAGTGACCAACGCCTCAGTGTTATAAAATTATAGAGTTAACACTGCAAAAGTTTACAGTAAACAATTAATTATCAGTGGCACATAAAGTTTGACTTAGCAGCGGGGGTGTCCCGGGGCTCGAAATTCGCAGGGAAGGAGTGGGTAGTGACGCTGGGTGTAACTAAAAAGGTGCCATTGTCCGGTGAGGTCCTGTTGGGGAGTTACGGAACGATCTCATATCGCATAATCTTATTAACTGTTTATCTCCTGAACTGCAACTTTCTTAACCACACTATTCAGCGCCAATCCCGCCGTGCAGTCAATAGCAAGCAGTCTCAGCAAATTCGGCGCACAAATTCAAAAAACGTTGCTTGCTGCGCATGCTCTCTAACTTTCTGTATTTCTTCTTCTGTAAGTACAGATACTCAAAAAGTGTACTTAAGTACAATACTCAAGTAAATGTACTTAGTTACTGTCCGCCTCTGACTATAACAAATACATAATACTGAAATCCTCTCTTCTAAACTATTGTTAAAGTTTTAATGTTGATTTTGATGGCCACCCCCCATAAGCTGATGACGCTGTATACCTTTTTCATTGTTTTTGTACAGTTTTTAGATGAAGACTATTCTCCGAGTTTGGTCAAACATGCGGCGAGTGCTCGCAGGAAAACATGAACAAATACAGTATAAGATAATTAAATGAAAGTCAAGAGAGTGTTTAAACTGAGATTGTGATGTCTACAAAGTGGCCACGCGACACAAGGCCTCAATCTTACTATTTCTCCGTTACATGTACATCAATTTCATTTAGAGCACATAAAGTTACACATTACAAGTTGAAGATGGTGTGGAAACACTATTTTCTTTGTACGCGTCTCTAAACACGGCTTTAATTAATCAGTTATTTTAAGCGAAATCGATGATTCAGTCCGTTTTATTCAGTCTTTGTGTTTTAGGCGTCCGCCTTTTAGTTTTGTTCCAGGAAACAGGTACAACTGTAACTGCGCACTGTCACGTTTTTCATTTCAACCAGGGGGATGCCATCCCCCCGCATCCCCCCTCAATTCGAGCCCATATATGTATAATGACTGGAGCACTGGAGAAGTTTTGACATGCCCTGACATTATGTCCGAACATGTCCGGGGATCCCGATAACCCTTATCGTTTGGCCTGTTAAAATAGCTTTTTTCACCACTTTACTTATTTTGATGTCGCCGGCTCCTCATTACAATCGACCGATAACTTTTTCTTACATGGCAAACTCTTTTTCCCACTCCTGGTAAAATATTTTTAGTGACGCCTAAAACTAGTGTAAATGTTTTGCTTTGTTTTATATCCTGTGTGATCGCATACTTTATTTATTTTCATTTCATTTAAAAGAAGAGAATAAGCCTCGGACGTTGAGTGTGAGAGCGAGAGAGAGAGAGAGAGATAGAGGGTTTTAGAGGTTTTTGTAAACCACTCATTCGGACATTAGTCATCCTTGCACTAGGAAAATCTTTTTTCCTCACGGAAAATGTAAGGGATTTTATTTTTACTCATTTATTTATTAAGTTTAAAGCTTCTTATTTATTTATTCCTTAAGCTAAATGTTTATTTTCAATTTCATTATTAGATGTGTTGTTTAATACCTCATTTATATTGCTGAGAATCATTTTATACAGTCATCAGATTATATGTGTGCGCGCACACACATATTGTAATATGTTAAAATCGTTTACTTATTTTGATATTATCCTTAAAACCAATCTTTTTTCTCACATCTCCAGAGAGAGAGTGACCAAAAATGCAACCGGATTCCTCCCCGAACATGTGGGGCGTCAGATGCCGGACACCACTGGATGTGGGGGCGGACCATAAAATCTTCAAAAACATTCCTCAGGAATTCATGACATCGGACAGAATTGGGCAAACATAATATTTCTTCCCCCGGAGGGCAAAGGTCGACATCGGAATTCCACATATGCCGATTTCCACATCTGGATGTCATTAACAGGTCACGGGGTCAATACGATGTGGGTGGTCGTGACGTGTGTGGGCTACATGGGGGGGAGGGGAAAGGTCAAAGCCATAAATCAATCTTGGCAAGGGTCATAAATCATTCTTGACACATGGTGGTCCTTATTGACTACTTGTGTACTGTGTATATTTATTATGTATATATATATATATATATACAAACATTTATATATATTATATATAAATATATTTCATATAAAAACATAACATATTTTTCTTAAATATATACATGCATGTGTGTGTATTTATATACACATAATAAATATACACGGTACACACACATATATTATATTTTTGTTATTGACAATTTATTGTTTTCGTTTTACTGTCATTAAAATCTAATTTTAGTGCAACATCTGCATGTAGATAAAAAAAAAAACCCTCAAGGGTGTTTTTTTTTTTTTTTTGGGGAAAGCC